TCCACGCCACATGGGTAAAACACCTATAAGGTTATGAAGCAGCCCAAGCTAGAGAGCAGCTGTTTTGGAATCTAATTTCCTGGTGTGGTCTTTTAACCAGTTTCTGGCTCAGACTTAGTTTCCCCTTGCCTTGGCCTCACTCAGTGACTCCATCTCAAATGAAATGCACCAAGAAGGCTCCTTGCAGTGCCTCCAGGCACCAGGACCACACTGAATTTGATGTCCAATTTAAAAAAAAGACAAACACGGTTTGACTAGCCAACAAACATAGATTTGGTAAAGATGGATAAATGGATTTTCTGTTCATAAATCACGGGCTTTGATGTCAACTGTCCTTTCAAATACGATTCTGCAAGAGAAACCAAAAGACTGGTGGGGATTTGGAGGTCTAAGGAGAAAGAAACCTGTCATCTGTTCTCAACTGTTGAGTAAACGTCTCCCAGGCCTCGTGGGTAGGCCACCAGTGGCCAGGCCTTTCCTCCAAGTGATTCACCTTCTTGACCCACTCATGTCCCTTCCCAGACCCCATTCCCTCCAGTAACACCTCTCCCCTCCTGCTCACCACCCGCTGCTGGTCAGCCTCATCCTGCCCAGGTTCCAAGCTTACATGTCCTTACCCATCGCTGAATCTCATCGCCAAGAATATTAAGTAGATATTGCTCCCAAGAGGACACTTTGGCTTATGCTCAGCAAAATTAATATTTTCAGCATTCTCTCTTCCTAGAAGGTAGTTTCTTGCCATATTTGCAAAATTGAGGGAATAGGATTTACTCAGTATGTTGAATGGGATCAGAGACATTTTTTCCATTTTTTTTTTCAATCAGGCAAAAGATGGAGTTAACTAGCCCCATATTCCCAATTATTCAAATGACATTTAGCCCTCTTGCAGATTAGCAACCCCAGGCTCCTGTCCAAATGCACTAATGTCTATTTCAGCTTGGCCTGGCACACGGTACCTGGTTCCTGGCCACAGCTACTTCCTTCTCAACAGGAATTAGCAAGCAACAAATTAAAAGGCATTTTTGCTCTTGAAATGCCTCGCGGGTGTTAAGAAGTGAAGTAGAAAGGCTTTACTCAGTTGCACCACTAGGGGGGATCAAACACCGCCTGTATGAAATGAGTTCTTACTCACCTTTCCCCTCCCCCACCCCCCCAAAAAATGAGTTGGCTTCACGCCCCTGCCTTGCTATGGCCATAGTAGTGCAGAGTGCTCAGACCCTTTGAAAGACAGCAGTTGCCCATCAATTTTATAAGTCAATCAAGCTAGCCTGTTCACAACCTTTCCTGGGCAGCTGCATCGTGCGAAGGAAAAGCTCAGAGGTCTCTTCCATTTCATGCCCTCCTTCCTTATCCTCTAATCTAGCCCTGCAGATAGAACTTGCCGGTGAGAAAGCACCATGGAGGGATTCCTGAGAAAAGGTCACAGCCCTGGATGGAGATCACAGCGCTCCTGCTGATGGAGGGAGGAACGTCACGCCTCCCCCTCTGCCGATAGCTTCCTGCTCTGCTCCACTGGCTCTGGGAAGCACAGAGCCTCCTGTTTGGAAGAGCCCTCATTAGCAGTCAGTTTGCTGCCTAGCTGGTCCAGCATATTCCCTAACAAGCTGTAGCTTTCCTGTTGGGAACCCACCTTGATGAGAACCTCTTCCTGTGCACAGGGCATTGCTGACTGTAGGTTCTTGTTGATGAGAACCTCTTCCTGTGCACAGGGCATTGCTGACTGTAGGTTCTTGTTGATGAGAACCTCTTCCTGCGCACAGGGCATTGCTGACTGTAGGTTCTTGTTGATGAGAACCTCTTCCTGCGCACAGGGCATTGCTGACTGTAGGTTCTTGTTGATGAGAACCTCTTCCTGCGCACAGGGCATTGCTGACTGTAGGTTCTTGTTCCCATTTCATACAAGCAACTCAGTGTGATGGGAACCATTACTGAAAATGTCCAGAGTGCGTCCTGTGGGCTTCATAAATGTCATTGATGCTTAAAGCATAAGTAGGCAGGAACTCTATTTTATGGTTGAAAAATAGGTTCGGGCAACTTGACTGCCATACTGGATTGCAAGATTATACAGAAAGTCGATAACACAGCTGGGTTTTGAACTAGAGACCAAAACTTGCACCAGATCTCTGCCTGTTACACTAACACTGCCAAGGTCACATGTCTAAGGAGTATTGGGGTTTTGAGTACTAATATGTCCTTTCTAATATGAGAGCTCTAAATGAATATTCTGGGACATGGTATGCAAGTGCATGCCAGTATACACACACAGTTTTAAACACGTTTTAGTATAAATACGTCATCCAAGTGACTATTTTTAAATTGCATATATTTAAGCATGCATAGCTTTTATTTCAGTGGTTTAACCCAAAGCTTTGTACATACCCACTCTCATTAGAAGGACAGTGAGTCCCACTAGGCAGTTTAGCCTAGGGCCCCTGTCTATTGAACAGATACCGCTGTGATCTTGCTTCCAGTTGCTGAGGGAGCTCCGAGTTTGGGTTTTATTGGAGACAAAGTTACAGATTTAGTCCCTGCAAGCTCTGATTTATTATAGGAAAATGCTGGCAGGCATCTCAGACTTGCAAAATGAATTCCTCACACTGTTCTGCTACACTACCCCTCTGCTGTGGACTTAGCTCCTTGGAGCAAGAGGAGGAGGGACGAGCTACAGCGTCCTTATTGAATCCATTCCTTGTTCCAGATAAGAAGCTGTGTTCCGAGCAAGCAGAGCTGCTGATGTGACCCCAGCTCTGCCCCTGGTCCTGACTGCACTGCTGAGCACAGAGAAAGGCAGGGCCCAAGCTCTCACACCCACTGCTTCGCATGCCTGGCTCTCTTGATTCTCCTCGGGTTCTTCAAATTGCTCGCCCTCTGAGACATGAGGCACAGGGTGCTCCCATCAAGTAGCTCAGCTGCCTCGGAGGCTCGCTCACAGGGATGGTGGACTGCAGTTCTTGGGCCCCAACCCACCTGCACTAAGATCTGCTAATGAAAAGCTGACTTCTCTGTGGCTCAATCCTACAAACTGTCTTCCTCCAAGAGATAAAGAAACCAGCCCTTTCTTTTTGTTCCCTCTTTGGTTACACTCAGTGTCTGAGAGGAGCTTAGGCTTTTTGCAAAGCTGGCAATGAGCTGAATGGCTGCTTGGGTATTGGTGTCAGGGACTCAGGGTAGGCTCCGGTGAGCCGGTGACTAGACGACTAGATGGGCCTGGAGGGCAGCAACATTCTTCTTGGAGGGAGCCCTGACTGGGGGAATCTGACCGTGTGAGGACCGTGGAGGAAGATAAAGGGGTGGTTGTGCGTTCTGGGCATCAGCACTCATGATCCAATCGTTTCCAGGGTGGCATGTCCCTGTAGGCATGCCCAGGGTTCTGCCTGACCTCTGTGACCTAGGAAGCAGGCGGGGCCGCTGTTGCTTAAGCTATCTTCTGACCCATCTTTTGATCGTCACGAAATGAGTGGGGACGTGTTGATGAGGGATAGAACTGAGTAATTTTTTTTCTTTTTTAATTTATTTTTAAAGTTTTTTTTTTTCATTTTATGTACCAATCCCGGTTCCCCCTCCCTCCCCTTCTCCTACCCCCCCCACTTCTCCCCATCCCACCTCCCTTGGGGAGTCAACAAAGTCTGGCATACTCAGTTGAGGCAGAACCAAGCCCCTCCCCCCTGTGTCAAGGCTGAGCAAGGTATCCCACCCTAGAGAATGTGCTCCTAAAAGCCATTTCATGCACCCAGGATAAGTCCTGTTCCCACTGCCAGGGGCTCCCCAAACAGATCTGGCCACATAACTGCCACCCACATTCACTGGGCCTAGTTTGGTCCCATGCATGTTCCCCAGCTGACAGGCCAGTGTCCATGAGCGCCCACCAGCTTAGGTCATCTGTCTCTGAGGTTTTCCCCATCATGACCTTGACCTCACTTGCTCCTGTAATCTCTCCTCCCTCTCTTCCACTGAAGTCTAGGAGCTCAGCCTAGTGCTTCATTGTGGATCACTGCACCTGCTTCCATCAGTTACTGGATGTAGGTTCTATGAAGACAATTAAGGTAGTCACTAATCTGATTATAATGAAAGGTAAGTTCAGGCACCCTCTCCATTATTGCTCAGAGTCTTATTTGGTGTCATCCTTGTGGATTCCTGGGGATTTCCCTAGCACCAGGTTTCTCCTTAACCCCAGTGGTTCCCTCTACCAAGACATCTCTTTGATTGCTCCCCGACTCCGTCCCTCCCTCCACTCAGCCATCTCAGTCCCTCTTGTTCCCATTCCCTATCTCTTTTCTTCTACCCCGCCCCCCAGTTTACCCAGGAGATCTTAACTATTTTGTCTTCCTGGGGCCCTCCATACGTGTCCCTCTTAGGGTCCTCCTTTTTACCTAGTTTCTCGGGTTGTGGATTGTAGCCTGGTTATCATTTGCTTTATGTCTAATATTTACTTATGAGTGAGTCCATACTGTGTTTGTCTTTTTGGGTCTGGGTTGCCTCATTCAGGACGATTCTTTCTAGTTCCAGCCATTTGCCTACAAATTTCATGATGACATTATTTTTTTTTTTACCGCTGAGTAATACTCCATTATGTAAACGTACCACGTTTTCTTTATCCATTCTCCAGTTGAAGGGTATCTAGGTTGTTTCCAGGTTCTGGCTTTTACAAATAATGCTGCTATGAACATAGTTGAGCAAGTGTTCTTGTGGTATGATTGAGCATCTTTTGGGTATATGCCCAATAGTGGTATTGCTGGGTCTTGAGGTAGGTTAATTCCCGATTTTCTGATAAACCACCATACTGATTTCCAGAGTGGCTGTACAAGTTTGCACTCCCACCAGCAGTGGAGGAGTGTTCCCCTTCTGAGTAATTTTCTTAAGAACTTGCATGTCACTCGTTTCTTTTTTCGGCCTTTGAAATGATTCACTTTCATGACACATGAACAAAACTTTTCACTGAAGAACCCAAACCGTCACAAGTGAGGGAGTGTAGAATCATCTTACAAGGCTGTTCTATGGGGTAGCCCTGTCAGAGAGCTGGGCACATGGTAAGAGAAGCTATTTAAAATGGATAGGAGCAGGGCCAGCCGCCATGATACTCAAGTGTCCGGTCTCAGGAAGCCCTGAGCTTGTGCGGGTACAGGAAGGAGACCTTAGAGCTGCTTTGCCTCCTCTGGCTTTAACATGAAAGGTGGGAAGTGTCTGACATCCAGCCCAGAGTCCTCCCAGAAGCAGATCCTGGCAGCTTGAAGTTCTTGGGGTTTTGTTCTAAAGCTCTGGGCGTAAGTATCAAGTTGGTGGTGTGGCAAGGCAACTGTGGGCTGGGAGCACCGCAAAGGATTGGCTTCTGCCTGGGTGGAGTGCACACCCTCCCCTGACTGGCTGCTAGGGTAAGCTGGCACCACCAGGCTTTCTGCCTTGCAGAGGGCTTCCTGTGGTGGGCACTGTGCATGTCCTCTGTGCTCTGGTGCCCACGCCAGGACTGCTTGAGTCCTAGACCTAAACCTCACTGCACCTAGAGAAAGCTAAGACCTCTGTCTTCAGTAGGGCTGGGCTGTCCTGTGGTCCAGCGATGGTTAAAATCATTGTCAGCTTAATGAGCTCTAGAACCTCCTGGGAGATGGGCCTCTGGGCATTCCCGTGAGGAATACTCTTCGTTAGTGTAATAGGTGTGGGAAGGCGCGCCCACTGTGGGTGACGCTACTCCATGGGCTGAGATCCTTGGCTGTATAAAGAGAGAAAATGTGCTGAACACAAGTGTCAGTTGCTTTCTTCTGCATGATTGTGGACCAGCTGCTTCAAGCTTCTGTTGCCATGGTGACTAGCTCCTCACACTGTGAGCCAAGGTAAGCCCCTGCTTCCTTGAGTTGCTTCTATCAGGGCAACTCTATCACAGAGACCTGGACAGAAACTCGGATAGGCAGCCTGGAGGACACCTGTCTCCACGCTGAGTTAGAGTCCTGTTCCTACCAATTATTCTTGTTACTTTGTATCTCCACCTCGGTTCCTCTCTTGGAGATGTAAACGCCCCTTCTACAAAGATTGAGTCCCAGAACTGCTTTAGGTGGTGAGTGTACAGCCAGGGATAATGAGGACCCTAGACCCTGTCCTCACGGAACTGCACAGCACAGCTCTGAGGAAACGTGGTGCATAAGTACAAGAATCTGGTGTAAAACACAGATAGGGCCCAGATTTCTGTCCATAAATCCTGTACGAAACCCCCAACAGAATCTACAAGCGGTGCTTTAAACAAGGCCCTTTACATATTCAGGACATGTTCATCCATCTGTGTGAAGTTTGACTACAGCAAGTCACCAACCCTCCCTAGGCCTCAGTTTCCACTTCTATGAAATCAGGCACCTTGAACCACATAGCATAGCCCCGAGTCTGCGCGTTGCCCCTGCAATGCTGTGATCATCTCTAGCATACAAATGGATTTCCTGACTTGGGAATCGGCTGAACTGAGGAGATAGGTCAGAGGGTAAGGCACTTGCCCCCCGAGGATTGCAAGCCTGATAAGTGTGATCCCTGAAACCCATGTAAAGGTGGAAGGAGAGAGTCAACTCCACAAGCAAGCTGTGGCAAGCACGCTCACATATATAGATCGTATAACACACGTGAATGCACACACATAACAATGAATTTGTGCATTTTCCCTGAAGAACCTTTTCATTGGTTATCATCCTGCTTCCAAAAGCTTTGAGATAGTCTTACAGGCCTGATTATTCTTCCCTAGTGAGTGTTTCAAATATGCCCACACAGTCCAGTGTAATTCTTCTGAGCTCACTGTGAGTTTCTATTCATCTGAATAGTCTACTTGAGTGGCGGCCATGTTCCCACTTGCTCCCCATGATCCATGCAGTTCTGAGTGTCACCAAATACCAGCCTTGCATGACAAGCCTGCACCATCGCTTCCCACCCCTGCCTCACCTACACAGCTGTCAATCAGAAACATGTGTGATGCTCTCTGATTTCAAGTTAGAACTCAGGATAGAAAACACCTGGAAATGTCTAGGTCTGGGATGAACTCTGAAATGCGGAGTTCCCAGCCATGCCACTGAATAACATCCTGTAGTCTTGGGGTTTTTTAAAAATTCAATCTGCATGATAACTCCTTTGATTTGGCTTTTGTTTGGAATGATCTGTCTGATGCCATTTCTCTGCAACATTCAGAACAGGATAGGATCTCTTCCGAGTCAGCTACATAGAGTGGACCTTTCCAAGCATAAAGAAACATCTGTCCTCCATCTGCGGGGCCTGAAAAATAGGACTTTCAGTCCAGTGTTGTGTAGGACACAAATGCTTGCAAAGAGCAAGAACCTTTTTTTTTTAAAACTAAAATCCTGATAAATGTCAAACAGGATCTTTTCATCTTGCATATCATTTTCCAGAGAGCATCACCAAAGGCCACTTTAACTGAATGGTTTAATGAGAACATAAGCTGCATATTCAGCCAAACACTAGTCAAACGTTTAGTATATTATGTACCATCTGTGCAATCTTATAGTTATTTAACCCTGATAATTCTTGGATTTGCAAAATAGAGAAAATACTGGTATCTTCCCTAAGAGAGTATTCTCTAGAAGACCAACACTGAGTTCTCACTGTTCCTCTTTTGATGTTTCTGCTGTCAATATGAGGGACAGGAGGCCGGGTCCCTGGTGTAGGTATAAGAACACAAGGTTGGTGATCAGAAGCCTGGGGTGTGCATCCACTGCTGCCGCTTAGTGCAGGATGCTGGGAGAGTCACATGCTTCTCGGTTTGTCTGGAAAACAAGGAAATAAGTATCTCTCCGGTAACATCATGAGGCTCAAGGATGATGGTTTCTGGGAATCTCCTTGGCCAATGCTAAACTCTACAGATGTATTATCAGCTACCCTCTGTGTTATGAACCAGGTGTTCGTGTCCCTGGAAATTCCTATGTTGAAATTCTAACTCACGTGTGAAGGTACTAGAAGGCAGGGCTTTGGAGTGGGGGCTTAGTTAAGCTTAGAGAAGTCATAAGGAGGAGTCCATGGCTGGAAATCAGTACCCTGATAAACAGTGACTAGCAGCCCTCTCTTTCTACCCAGTGAAGAGACAAAGAGGAGCCAGCTGTCCACCAGACGGGAGGAACTGAGTCTGCTGGCACCTCAAGCTTGCGCTTCCCAGCCTCTGGAGTGGTCGGAAGCAAATGTCTGTCCTTTAAGACACCTGGTCACAGCTCTTGTTAGGAAACCATAACTGAGAATATGGAGTCACAACTGTCACTGAAAAACACATCTTTTTTCTATTCAAGAATTTCCATTTACGGTAATTTATTGGTGAAAATTTTAAGGCCACTCCACGTAGTTAAAAGGAAGATTTATTTAGTGGCGTAACTTACAAATGAAGGGGTCGGTAGATTGCGGGTTCTGGGAAAGACACAGCGCAGTCCGGTGGTGTTCTCTGGAGAACTCTACTCGGTCTACCTCTAGTGTCCAGGGTCCAGGAAAACAAGAGAGCGTGGCAGATCCAGATCTTGGATCTTCGGGACCCTCTCTTGGCCCCGCCTTGTAGTTACCGAAGCCTCAATAGGGGTTGGAACTTCCAGACCTAAGCTGGAATGGTTAACCACTACAGTAATTGTTGTGTTGAGCTCAACTACTTATGACTGATTTCCACCCAGTCAGAGAAGACAGCACACCGATGGACTGAGGACCCACTGAGCAACACCCTTCCCAGAAGAACTCTGTCATCACTGTGTGCTTGTCTCCCATGCAGCTTCTGTGGACATCTAAAATGCATGCTAGTCAAAATCCAGTGTGTCTGCAGAGTGTGGGTGTCCTGGAGCTGGGCTTGAGGCTGCAAACGCTGGTTTTCCTCATTCATCTCCCTTCCAAGAGCATTCAACCTGGACTCCACTCTCTCTGCCTACGTGGTCACTTCTCCCTTTCCTTATGGTGGGAGTCACTATCTTGAGATCTTGTCACCAGTCAGGCTTTAAGTCCAATCCTCCCTCCTCAGTTGTCCAGCTGTGTCACCCTGAGCAAGCCACAGAAGCATGTGGCAGGTCAGCTTTCTCAGAGGAAGACCATGGAAGAGCCCCCAATGAGTTACCCAACACCAAGGGGCCAGCCTTGAAAACATGTGCACACAAGTAACATAAAGACTGAGCAGGTTGCACACACACACACACACACACACACACACACACACACACACACACATTGCAACAGTTAAAACACCACCACAAGTGTGAGAGAGAACAAGAGACAGGCACATGGAAGAAGTACAAGGGAAGAAAGGGAAAAGTACTACATTTTAACTTCAGAAGATAAAGTTTTCCAAATGGGTGAGAATGAGAATTACCTTCCTAGGCAGCTCAGGAATTAAGAGAGCATACTTAAAATTCTTCCTCACACCTGAGACCCCATGTTCTTACCAGCTTCGCTTTCCTTTCCTTGACATTCTACACACAGAGAATCAGAAGGAAGGTCCAGGGACAGATGCACCCCTCACAGGCATCGTCCAGTGGTCTGCTTCCTCTGGTGAGAGCTCACCTTGTAACAGTCCACTCAGCCGTGACTGAATTGATGAGGCAACCCTGGATATTTTTATTTATTTATTTATTTATTTTACATCCTGACCAGTTTCCTCTCCCTCCTCTCTTGCCAAATCCCTCCCTCACCACCTCCCCTCTGTCCCCCCAATCCACTCCTCCTCAATTTCTGTACTTTTACTTCATTGGGCTACATCTCATATTGGTAAACTTAATTTCATTCATTTATTTTTACCCATTAGAATGCAGACACTAGAAAACTTGGAGTCAACCCGGCTCCCGCTACAGTTCTCTCGGGCAGTGCTGCTGGGAACTGTCCCTCACCTAAACCAACTACTTAAATCTTCAGGACCTTAGAAACACACATAATGTCACTCCATTCCAGGCACATTACATTGCTCATGTAGCTACTGAGAATATAAAGGCTATCAATACAAGAAAGTAAGGTAAGCTCACCAGGTCTGTGTGTGAGCCGGGGCCTGGGCAGCCCTGTACACTGTAACAGTTTAGTAAGCTCACCAGGTCTGTGTATGAGCCAGGGCCTGGACAGCCCTTGTACCACTGAGAGTTTCTACTAAGTAACTCATCTCCAGCCTTCACAGCCTCTGTCTCTGGAGTTCCAAAAGATCTTCCAAACTAATATAAGTACATGGTCTTCTCTATGCCATTAGTCAAGAGTACCCATTTTCTATCTGTAATAATAATAATAATAATAATAATAATAATAATAATATAGCATTTGGATATATACATAATATAATTTTTTGAGACAAGGCCTCACTATGTAGCCCTGGCTGGCTTTGAACTCACTCTGTAGACCAGGCTGGCCTCAGACTCACAGAGATCCACCTGTCTCTGCCTCCCGAGTGCTGGGATTCACCACACATAGCTTGCTTTTTATATTGTATGTCCAGTGACATAACTTTCCTTGATCTTTACATGTGTAGCACTTGAGACGGCCTTTAAATAACACACCTCTCGGCAGGCACAGCTGTGCGTTAAAGAAGTCAAAAACCGAGCTGCCTTCCACTGTTCCCTTCCCTCCTGCATCAGCTCTGACTGTTCTTCTTTTCTTGAAGACAAAGGCAACAGTTTTGTAAGTAAGGGCTGTATTTGATGAGTTCTGTTGTTTGATGGGCAGTGCTGTGACTCTGAAAATGATTTGCTAAAGTGAAGGGCTCAGACAAACTTCTGTGGCCTTCTCCTGGTGGGCCTTCTTCCTTCCTCATCCTCCCCAATGCCAGCTACAAACTCTAGACATTTTCCTCCCCAGTGCAAGCCATAGCAATTATTCTTCCTTTTTTTCAAAAAGTAACTGTGAAATCTAAAACTATTACCCTAATTTCAACTTCTTCCCTTTTCCTTTAAGGGATGGGCATTTTTAAGTGTCTGGTCCACCTGGATTCATTATAGGACACGTAACGTGGTTCCAGAGAGGATCCTGCCGCACACCTAGAGGAAATGAAAGCTATCCAGATAGCCTGTACGAGCAGGCTGGCTTCGCTGGAAGACAGGCCTCCCCCACTGAGTCTGTCTGTTAGACAACACCCCTCCCTCGTGGGCAACCACGTTGTTACTGACTCCATTAGGGTCAAAACCAGGAGCCCGGCAGTCCTAACAAACTGGGCTTAGCCACCCATCCTCAGTAGAACTAGAGAGACAAATACTAGAGACAATCAGAAGAAAGAGATGTATTCGTTGCGGTGACACTGGGAAGAGGGACAAGGGGTTTGGTGACATCACAGCTCCTTCTCTGAGGTCCTGGTAATCGGCTGAAATGGAGGGCAGGTAGTGTGCACAGCTTCACAGTCCTACTCTAGATGTGGTCCCACGCATCCGTGACTGCGGATGGTCTCATCCCCAGGCCCTCTTGCACTGTGGTCTGACAAGTGGACAGAACTGTATAAAATTCCTTCCCACAATTCCCTCCTGGCTGACACCAGGGCCCAGGCTTCTTTCTCCTTGCCCAGCATGAAATTTCAAGGGAAATTCCAGTTTCTTGGGTCCACTGTTGCAATGGTCTGATAGGTGGAGGCAGGGCACAAGTGCCTCCATAGAATGACTTTATTCCAGGACAGTTACATCTCTTCAGTTGTCTATGTATCACATCGACACACTACACAGGCGGTCGGTCACCCCTGGTCTTAGGGTAACCGGGAGGGGACTGCCTCCTCTACTTCACATGTGAAAACATTTCATTTCATCCACTTGGATTTATCTTTGATTTTATGTGTGTGGGCTTTTCCTGCCTGTGTGTCTGTGCACCATGTACATGCCAGAGGCCCATGGTTTAGAACATAGGCCTGGGGGCTGGAGAGATGGCTCAGAGGTTAAGAGCACTGACTGCTCTTCCAGAGGTCCTGAGTTCAACTCCCAGCAACCACATGGTGGCTCACAACCATCTGTAACGTGATCTGGTGCCCTCTTCTGGCCAGCAGTCATACATGCTGTATACTAAATAAATAAATCTTTAAAAAAAAAAAAAAAAGAACATGGGCCTGATGATTCCTTTATCCTGGTCACTCCACTCTCCAGCTGGTGCAGGAAGGCACAGTTGCGATCTGACAAGAGGTGGCAGGCTGATGTGCTGCAGGGAGGCCCCTACCAAGATCCAGATGAAAGTCCTTCCAGAGAGGTTCTAAGCTGGGATGTAAACAGCAAGCCCAGTAATACTGCTGAGAGCTCCTGAGATCAGGGACCCGGGGACCGTGATCTGAAGGCTTCTACCCGAGCGAGCGAGCGTGCGTGCTAATGCTGGCTTCCACGTTTGTTTACAGCTGTAATTTTTTTGGGATAATGAAAGTACCATATGTCTATCTCTCTAGGTTCCCATACAAATTGGGAAACTAAAAACGCCAGATGATTGCAACAGATTCCTGCTTGCTTTCATGGGAAAACAACTGCCACGAACCCTCGGGAAATGAAGGGAAAACGTGTTCTCTGGTTAATGCCTTCACTCTGTCTGCAAGCAGGTCCCAGTCCACGGTTGCTCAACATTTCAACTCGAGTGAGATGTCATCCTGCTGGAGGCCAGGTGAGATGTCAGAGGTCAGCGAACTCCCCTGACCAGGACACTGAGTACTGTATTCCAGGCCCCCCACTTCAGTCCCTGGCCAGCTGCGCTAAGCGTTCAGGGCTCCTGCCTAAAAACTAGAAGACACACATACTAAGGCAGAACACCGCCTCATCAGGTTCTTCAATAGACCTGACACCAGTCAGCCAGAGGGTCAGAGGGGACATGCTCCTGAGGACTCTTTCTGTGTCTTGTTTGGCTGCCTACAACTAGACAGACCTAATTTGGGGGTGGAGAGACCATTTAATAAAACCCAGGGAAGTATGGCCTGGGTCACTGTACCCATGATGCTTCCAGGAGGCTGCTGAGGCTGCTAACACCTCCCCCAGGACTAGCACCAACTGGCCTAAAGAGATAGTGGGGGGGGGGGGGGGGAGGGTGCTAGAGATGTCAGTGTTGTGGTGACAGTGGAAATCTGTGGTACTGGAGGACGGTTTCAAGACTGGTTTTAGGTGACTGTATGATTAGTTTTCTTGTTGCTGTGACCAAATGCCTGAGAGAAGCAACTTAAGGGGAGAGGGTCTATGTGGGCTCAGGTTCTTCAATAGACCTGACACCAGTCAGCCAGAGGGTCAGAGGGGACATGCTCCTGAGGACTTCAAGAGAGCGCCGCCTGTCCTCCTGGGAAAAGAGTTCATCATGGGGAGTTCATCACAGTGGGGAGTTCATCATGGGGGAGTTCATCATGGGGGGTTCATGATGGGGAGTTCATCATGGGGGAGTTCATGATGGGGAGTTCATGATGGGGAGTTCATCATGGGGGAGTTCATCATGGGGAGTTCATCACGGTGGGGAGTTCATCATGGGGGGTTCATGATGGGGAGTTCATCATGGGGGAGTTCATCATGGGGAGTTCATCACGGTGGGGAGTTCATCATGGGGGAGTTCATCATGGGGGAATTCATCATGGAGAGTTCATCATGGAGAGTTCATCATGGGGGAGTTCATCATGGGGAGTTCATCACGGTGGGGAGTTCATCATGGGGGAGTTCATCATGGGGAGTTTATCATGGGAGATCATCATGGGGGAGTTCATCATGGGGAGTTCATCATGGGGGAGTTCATCATGGGCAGTTCATCATGGGTAGTTCATCACGGTGGGAGAGTTCATCATGGGGAGTTCATCATGGGGAGTTCATCATGGGGGAGTTCATCAGGGGGAGTTCATCACGGTGGGGAGTTCATCACGGTGGGGGAGTTCATCATGGGCAGTTCATCATGGGGAGTTCATCACAGTGGGAGAGTTCATCATGGGGAGTTCATCATGGGGAGTTCATCACGGTGGGAGAGTTCATCATGGGGAGTTCATCATGGGGAGTTCATCATGGGGAGTTCATCATGGGGAGTTCATCAGGGAGAGTTCATCACGGTGGGGAGTTCATCATGGGGGAGTTCATCATGGGGGGTTCATGATGGGGAGTGCATCAGGGGGAGTTCATCACGGTGGGAGAGTTCATCATGGGGGAGTTCATCATGGGGGGTTCACGGTGGAGGAGTTCATCATGGGGGAGATCATCACGGTGGGAGAGTTCATCATGGGGAGTTCATCATGGGGAGTTCATCATGGAGAGTTCATCATGGGGGAGTTCATCATGGGGGAGTTCATCATGGGGGATTCATCATGGGGAGCTCATCGTGGGGGAGTTCATCATGGGGGATTCATCATGGAGGAGTTCATCATGGAGGAGTTCATCATGGGGGAGTTCATCATGGGGAGTTCATCATGGGGGAGTTCATCATGGGGAGTTCATCATGGAGAGTTCATCATGGAGAGTTCATCATGGGGGAGTTCATCATGGGGGAGTTCATCATGGGGGATTCATCATGGGGAGTTCATCGTGGGGAGTTCATCATGGGGCAGTTCATCATGGGGAGTTCATCATGGGGGAGTTCATCATGGGGGATTCATCATGGGGAGTTCATCGTGGGGAGTTCATCATGGGGCAGTTCATCATGGGGAGTTCATCATGAGGAGTTCATCATGGGGAGTTCATCATGGGGGAGTTCATCATGGGGAGTTCGTCATGGGGAGTTCATCATGGGGGAGTTCATCATGGGGAGTTCATCATGGGGGGTTCATCATGGGGGGTTCATCATGGGGGAGATCATCATGGGGAGTTCATCATGGGGGAGTTCATCATGGGGGAGTTCATCATGGAGAGTTCATCGTGGGGGGTTCATCGTGGGGGGTTCATCATGGGGGAGATCATCATGGGGGAGATCATCATGGGGAGTTCATTATGGGAGTTCATCATGGGGGGTTCATCATGGGGGAGATCATCATGGGGGAGTTCATCATGGAGAGTTCATCGTGGGGGGTTCATCGTGGGGGGTTCATCATGGGGGAGATCATCATGGGGGAGATCATCATGGGAGATCATCATGGGGGAGTTCGTCATGGGGGGTTCATCATGGGGAGTTCATCATGGGGGAGTTCATCATGGGGGAGATCATCATGGGGGAGATCATCATGGGAGATCATCATGGGGGAGTTCGTCATGGGGGGTTCATCATGGGGAGATCATCATGGGGGAGATCATCATGGGGAGTTCATCATGGGGGGTTCATCATGGGGAGTTCATCATGGGGGAGATCATCATGGGGGAGATCATCATGGGGGTTCACAGTGGGGGAGTTCATCATTTGGAGGATAGGATTGGATTTCATTTCTACACAATTTAGGAAGCAGAGAAAGAGTAATGACAATACAATTAAGTGACTCTGGCTCTCTCTCTCTCTCTCTCTCTCTCTCTCTCTCTCTCTCTCTCGTGTGTGAGTGGTGTGTATGTAGGTGTGTGTGTGTGGTTGTGCATGTATGTGTCTATGTGGAGGTTTGTGTATGTGTGGTGTGTATATGTGTGTGTGTGTGTGTGTGTGTATGAGTGTGTTGCTACCCAATGAGAAGCAGTCCAGTGAGTAAGAAATGAACACCAAACACACACACACACACATACACACAGACACATACATGCACAACCACACACACACCCCTACATACACACCACTCACATACACACATGCACACCACATACACACACATGCACACCACATACACACACATGCACACCACACATACACACAGACTCTTACATGCGCACCACACACACACATCATACATAAATGCACACCACACCCATATGCACATACACCCCTACATACACACCTTACACACACACCTCCACACAGACACATACATGCACACCACACACACACACACACACACACACACACACACACACACACACACCCCTTATGGTCACCAACGCTGGCAACATAATTTTTTCTCACAATAGCTTTCAAGGATGCAAACAGAGCCTGCAATTCCAAATCTCCACAGTGTGCCTGTTTACATGGATGCCACCAGCTGCCTTTCTTGCCTGGCCTAGAGAGAATACTCAGAGAAACAGAGTGGCAGAGGACATCCCTGTGGCCTTTTGCCAAAATAAACCATGGAAGTGACTCTATGGAAATAAGAACATAGATTACAGTGCATCTGAAATGCTGTGCTCTGGCCTAGTCAAAACATTTTGATTCCTCTTGTCTGCAAATGACTCACGGACAGGATTTCTTCACAGGAGGCCACACTAATAGAGGCCATGGAAGTCGTGTTAGGGGAAACAGCAGCATCATTTTGTGGTCCTAGGGAGGCCTTCGGTAGTCAGGTGTTATTGTGTTAGCACAGCTGTGCTGCACAGCATCATGGTCCAGGACACTCTCTTTCTTCGGATTTCAGTAATTGCGGCTTAGGGTTGATTGCCTCTGTTCTGTTTCCAGCTTGCCTCAGACACTTAGCTGCCCAGAGTTGGCACAAACACCTATGGGGATGAAGAGAAAACATCTCCATTAGACTGCCCTCTCCTCTCAGGCAAACCACAGGAAGTCTCATGAGGTCTCTAGGCCACCCACACTTTGGCCCACTGGGGTGATTCACTGAATCCACAGCTTTACTAAAGGACACACTTCAAGAAGAGCCAAACAGATGTATAAGGCAGGAAGACAGCACCCCAGTGGTCTCAGGGAGCAAACCCCCCTAGTGATGAGAAGATACACACAGAACCTAACCAAGAGTGGGTGTAGTAGAATATTGTAAGGTGTGTTACTTTTCTTTATGTTGCGATTGTTTAACTCTGTGAAGCCGTGTTACTGTGCCTGTCTAAAACACCTGATGGTCTAATAAAGAACTGAACAGCCAATAGTGAGGCAGGAGAAAGGATAGGTGGGGCTGACAGGCAGAGAGAATATATAGAGGGAGAAATCTGAGGAAGAAGTAGTCAGAGAAGGAGGAGGACATCAGGGGCCAGCCACCCAGCTGTTGGGTTATTGCGGCGCTCTTACCCTGCAAGGAAACGTCACGAAACATTAACAAAATCCAATAACAAGAGTTATATTAAGATAAGGTAAAGAGACAGAGGTAAACAGGCCTGTGGAAAGACACGTGAGTGAAGATGGGGCCGGGAATCCTGGCGCCGGCTTATAAAGGCTGGGCTGCGCCTGCGTACACAGGCCCATGTGGCTATTCCACGCATGCATGTAGACCACATGTTTACGCTGCGTGCTTTACGCAACCACGCAAAACCATGGGGTCCTGGTCACGCGAGATGTTTTGACCCGGAAATGACTAGACAGAAGTGACTAGGTCCCGCCGGGCATGCGTGACCATGCCCAACCGTGGGGGCGTGTTGTGAATCCATATCACCAGTGACACAGCAAGCCACGGAGTAATAGTAAGATTTACAGAAGTTAGAGAACAGGAAAAGCCCAGGGGCAAAAGGTAACCTGGATAAGTTAAAGTTAAGGAAAGCTGGAAAGAAACAAGCCAAGCTAAGGCCAGGCAATCATAATTAAGAATAAGCCTCCATGTGTGATTTATTTGGGAGCTGGTTTGCGGGTCCCCCGCCCACCCAAAAAACACCAACAACCAACAAGTGGGTGCCAACTCTGGGTAGTTGGTGTCAGAATAGAGTTGGGGTGGAAACAAGACACAGAGAATACTAGTTATCAGTAATGTTAGCTGGTAGTTATTTGCAGAACCTGTCAATCAAGTCTCTGTAGGCAGAGCAGCAGGGGAGCTGATTCATTAAAGCCCCCCTGTCACCAGCTGTCTGGCTGGAGTCCTTCTGTTCTATTCAGATAGGAGAGGCTCCCCGACTGTTGTCCTTGGAGGCTTTTGTAATCTTTCCCTCAGCGTCTGACCCAGTGAGCAGCTGTGATGGACAGAGGCAAACAGCAGCAGGCAGGAAGTTCCCGCTGGCGCGTTAGTGCGCCTGTGCTGGCCTGAGCTTCCAGGACCCTCAGCCCCACAGGCGCGGGAAGTGAGGCTTCTCCAGCTCAGTCGGTGCCTGGTGCTAGGATTCGGCTCAGGCGAGGCTCCGGGGACCCGAGGGCCTTGGCCCGATGAGCTGGCAGCTCTCCGGAACTTTTCTAGTGACCAGGGCTTGCTTGCAGTTTTCCCACTCTGCCTCTTTGCGGCCTTCTATTTTTCTTTATCCCTGGCTCTATTTCCACGCTCTTCTGCTTTCTTTCTACGTCTGCCATTACTCTTGATTCCCCTTTTTGCAACTTTTTTTTTTTTAAGTTTTTCGAGACAGGGTTTCTCTGTGTAGCTTTGCGCCTTTCCTGGAACTCACTTGGTAGCCCAGGCTGGCCTCGAACTCACAGAGATCCGCCTGGCTCTGCCTCCCGAGTGCTGGGATTAAAGGCGTGCGCCACCACCGCCCGGCCTCTTTTTGCAACTTTTCAAACACCTCTGCTTCCTGCACATGCTGTCACGGCTGCCAGCATTCACCGCCGCCGCCCCTCCGGCTGTTATCGTCCGCTATTTTCAGAGCCACTGCTGCCTCTGCCTCGTGGCTGTGGCTCCCAGGATTACCACGTCACCACCACCAGGCTGGTGTTGCCGCCGATCCTCATTTGTCATAGCTTCGACCGCCACCACGGTCACTGCTACTTCCTTCTTCTTGTGACCAGTCCACCGCACTCTACGAGCAATAGAGACAGACAAGGAAAGACCGCTCAGAAGAAGCCTTCCTGTCGCGGATGCTACGACAACACTGTTTCCTGGCAACCTGCTTGTCTACCATCCAATCACAGCAGACCTACATGCAAGGGAAGGATGGTCACGGCATTGTCTCTTTCCCACTAGTTACAACAGTTCCTCTGCTATACGAGCAGTGAGGTGTTCCCCTTCTGGACTAGGTAAATTGATGCCAGGGTAAGTCTGGAACGTGCTGGGGCTGCGCTTTAGGAACGGTAGCTGTGCTACAGCAGCAGGCAGCTGCAGTTGCCGTGCAACTTCCTCAAAACATCTGCGGACTGTTTGAAGCAGCTAGAGCAGGAGTCAAGCTGACTGCTGAACTGACAGTCCTTTCCTCAAGGCATCCTGGGCAATGAAGAGGAGTCTAATGGGGACGAATTAGTGAGTCCCAGCTCCCATCCCCAACGTCTTAGCAAATTTACCGAGGAAAATGAACATAAGAGAGATCGTATAAAATAATGAGTAGTCACTAATTAAATAGCGTTGATCGGTGCTCTAACTTACTATGGCGCCTGTACCCCAGGAAAGGTGGATCGCTCGTTCCACTTTGTCTCGTCCCTAGCACCGCAAAACCTGTGTTCATCAGCCGGAGATCTTCACTGACCCTCAATGAAGAGTTTTTATTGGGATTTTTCTTAAAGGTCATGGATTAAATCATTGGCCACATTAAAAATCTCAGCCTGCTCCCTTGCCCAGTTAGTGAGTTTATACCTCAGGTCAGTTTGGTCCAGAGTTCTAACACTTCAATCCCTTGTCTTCATTTTGATCATGTGCTTTCCTGAAGTATCTGAGAGTTAACTTATCAGCATAAGTAGCAAGAATACCCTTATCGGAAAAGCCCAAATGTCTTAGCAACTAAAGAAAATACTGAATATTATCTTTATAATACCATACTTCACTATGAAAATGTAAAAAACACTGGGAATTTCAACTTATTATTATTAATTTTTTTGAGCAGCTACTACAGACCAACCCTTTGGATTATACATGCTGAAGCAGTATTTTGGAATATAAGCAGGCCATTACGTGGAGGGTAGGCTGAAGGAGGCAGAGAGGGGTACATGGATAAGGAGAAGGCATTCAAGGGATGAAATCCAGACAAGGGGAGCAGGTGTGGAAATGGAAGAGGCAGGCTTGAGAAACACAAAAGAAAGTTTCAATGATTCAGCTTTTTGTTGTTGTTGCTGTGGTAGTGGTTTGAATATGAAATGTCCCCCAGAGGCTCATGTGTTTGAACACTTTGTCACCAGCTGATGGCGCTGTTTGGGAAAACTGTGGAACCTTTGCCTGGTAGTGCCTTGATGGAAGAAGTAAGTCCCTGGGGACAGACATACAAGTTTTATAGTCCCACTTTACTTCATGTTCACTCTCTACTTGTGCGTGTGAAGATAATGTAACAAGCCAGCTCCCTTCCCTGCCACCAATGCCCTCCCTGTCCTCTGTCATGTCTTCCCTACCATGACGGACAATATCCCCCAGAACCCTGGTCAAAATAAATCACTTCTCTTTTAAATGGCTTTTGTTGGAGTGTTTCATTGCATTAGTCGTGGTTTGAACTGATAGAATGTCATCACAGTTCCCCATGAGATGATGGACTTAAATCCCCTCAGACCAGGAGCAAAATAAGTGTCCTTCATTAAATGGCTTTTTTGGGTATTCTGCCACAATGATGAGAACAGCTAACACAGCTGGGAAGTTGATTTGCCAAACCTCATGGAGTCTGGGAATTCACTTACCATCTATAAGTTGTAAAACACACCATACCAGTTAAAATGGAGGTGAATCCAAATGCTTATGAGTAGGGAATGTCAATACTTTTCAAATGCTCAGTGCTGAACAAAGGTCAACAGACACATTCACAACAACTCATGCCCTCCAGGCCCTTCCCAGATGACAGAGAGGATGTTCTGGTTCTCTTTGGGAGGACTTAAGTATTCACCAGACTCTACCAAAGCTGTGCAGCAGAGACCAGACACCCTCAGGGTTTGCTGTGACAGTGGTAGGGCATTTGGCTGTCATATGTGACATTTGCATGTGCTATTTCTCTTCTGCAGCCAGGATACTGGACTAACAACATTGCAGAGAGCTTTGCAAACCTTTTCATAAGGTTTTAATAATCACTTTGGGGTCTTATGAGTTAAGGAGCAATCCATAGATGCTGAATATTGAACAATTCCCTTGTCATCCTGAGCAATGGTCATCCAAGTTTTTTAAAGCCCTTTCATTTTGAAACACTCAAAAGTCCCCTCCCATTACCCACTGTCATAGTTTCTGTTGCTGTAAAGAAGACACTATGACCAGGGCAACTCTTATAAAGGAAAGCATTTAATTGGGGCTGGCTTACAGTTGTAGAGGTTTAGTCCATTATCAACATGGCAGGACATGGCAGCATGCAGGCAGACATGGTGCTGGAGAGGTAGCTGAGCATTCTACATCTTGATCTGCAGGCAGCAAGAGGGGACACTGTCCCACACTGAGTGTAGCTTGAGCATAGGAGACCGCAAAGTCTGCCCCCACAATGACACACTCCCTCTAATAATTCCACGCTAGTTTGTTTTCCCTCACCCCCCTTTTGTCCCCCAGCTCACCCCTCAGTAATCATGGTCTGATTCATAGCTTTAATATTAGAAGCATAAGCGGTATAGCAAGCAACAAAGGAAGTATTCTAACTAGGCACATTTACAGGTAGAACAGCATCATGCAAAGTCAAAGAGTTTTGCCTCTAGTGGTTAATGTTTACCTCGAGTCAAATCTAAGTTTTCATACATAACGCATCAGCCAAAGCTGAATCAATTCATTCTTCGTTCTGTACTACTCTATCTCCTATGGGAATATACCAGGTTTTTTTTTCTATCGTCTTGTAAACTACATAACTACAAAGCTTACTCTTGATAGTTGGCACAGCTTCTCTCTTGCTCTCATGTCTCCCTCCTCTCAACTTCCTACAGTATTGGCACAGCTGTTAGAAAGGAGGGCACTGTGGATTCCTATGATTCTGCTTCATTCCCTGTTCCTAGACTGTTCCCATTAACTCCTGATATCATTTATTTATTTGCATTTTTCCTAGACTCTTGTGGTTAGAATCATTCTTTCCAGGACAGTTATGCAAATTGGTCATGTCGTAAGCTACTGTGACTCTTTCAGACTAGTCACAAGGTGCGTTGGAAAGGCACCATTTTGTTCTTGAGAATCCTGAATTCATGGTCACACTTGAAATATCAAAGCCTTTTGAAGCTGAATCAGGTCTATTGTATATTTTTAACAACATCCCTTCTGGTTCACCCAGAGGAGTGTCATGGGGGAAGTTTTCCTAATGCAATAGCCATTCCATCTGTAGCTCTAAGAAAGTGAGACCAGAGGCAGCCAGAAGTGTAATTTACAGAAGGAAAGCAAGGAGAGCAGGTAGAGCTTATGGTCCTGTGGTCGTGCCCAGAATTATGTAGCAAACTATCCATTGGCTTTGCCAAAAATGAGTTAAATTCTCCCAGGCCTTGCACATGGAGAACTTGGTCATACTAGTCTCAGGCCTTGTCCCCTGTAGAGTTCCCGGCTCCCAGCACTACACCACCAGGCCAGACCTAGTGGTTTTTCCTTCAAATCTTGTGATCGTAATGCTTCGTTTCCAATAGCTGTCTACTAAATCTTCCTCAGAGACAAGGATGGGAGACTATAAATGCAGCGGCTGGCCTAGAAAAGCATTTGTGGGAGAGGATATTCATGGACAGGAATGGCTAAGGAGGGGAAAGATGGGAATGCCAAGTTACTGGGCCAATGTCCAGCCACTCAGGAGGACCAATATAAGTACTGTCAAGAATGTGAGGAGGCTGAGCTTTCACTGGCTTTGCAAGGGAAGAACTCAGTCTGCCATACTTTCTTGGATGCTGTTGAAAACAGGAGACTCATGAGTCAAAGAGAAAAGAAATTTCTCTATTTACAGCAACTGCAGTATCCTGGCGACTGACTTTTTTTCTCTTGGCTCCTGAGGCTCCAGAGAAATGAAAAGGGGGCCATAAAGCACCTCAGGCACCAGCCAGTGTATTACAAAAGCAGAACTCTGTAGATGTAACCAACGGTCTTATTAAATAAGAAACAGAGCCGATTCAGAGAAGAAAGCCAAGAGGTCAGAGCTAAGAGCCTCACCCTTCCTGATTCAGGGATCCTCTTCAGCCAAGAGAGCTCTCCGAAAGGGACCTACTTCCTGTGTGTATGTCTTTATATACTCTAGCTGTTCTGCCTTCTCATTGGTTGTAAACCCAAACACGTGACTGCCTCGTCACTGCCTGTATGTACCACCCTCCAAGTCCTTAAAGGCGTGCGCCACCGCCGCCATGCACTTGCTATGGCTCTAATAGCTCTGACCCCCAGGCAACTTTATTTATTAACATACAATTAAAATCACATTTCAGTACAAGTAAAATACCACCACAGAACCCTTAGGGGTGGAGAGATGGCTCAGCAGTTACGGGCACTGGCTGCTTTTGCAGAGAGTGCAGGTCTGTTTCCATCAACCACATGATGACTCAGAACCATCTGCAACTCCGTTTCCTGTGAGACCTGACACCTTCTGGCCTCCACAGACGCTGCACACATGTGGTACACAAACTTGCAGAGAAAACACCCACCAGCACACACAAAATAAACAAATCTTAAGAAGGAAGAGAAAGAGGAACCTGGAATGTAGGGAATGTGAACCTTACAGACTTTCACTTGGTACTGTCTGAATTATACTAGAGAGTGAACGTGGACCTTTTAAATGAGAGAAAGAATTAGTTCTTTCAAGGCCATTGTCTTAGTTAGGGTTTTCTATTGGTGCAAAGAGACACCATGACCACGGCAGTTCTTAATAAGGAAAACATTTAATTGGGGCTAGTTTATAGTTTCAGAGGTTTAGTCCATTGTCATCATGGTGGGAAGCACGGCAGCACACAGGCAGACATGGTAGTGAGAGTTCTACATCTGGATCTGGAGGCAGCAGGAAGAGAGAGCGACACTGGGCCTGGCTGGAGCATTTGAAACCTCAAAGCCCACCTCCAGCAACCCCTCCTTCAAGAAGGCCACACCTCACAGTGCCACTCCCTATGAACCTATGGGGGCATTTTGATTTAAACTACCCACAGCCACAAACCATCACATTGTACTTGAACATTTAGTCTGCAAGAAAGGGCAGCTGCCTGGCTCAGCAAATACACAAAAAATGCTCTTAATCCCAGGGTCGTGGGTTCGAGTCCCATGTTGGGCGCCATTTGTAGCTGGAGTTTTCTCTTCAAGTCCCGCCAAACCCTGGCAGTCCAACAGCCCACTTATAAAATAAACACACAGATGATTATATTGCTTACAAACTGTATGGCCGTAGCAGGCTTTTTGTTAACTGTTTTAAATGAGCTATACAAACATAATACCTTAAACAAGAGTAGAAATATACACACAGTATAACAAAATTAACTTTAAATTTGTTTCAATAAACTAAATCTATACCAATGTTAATCACTTTAAACAAGTTGTTGTTCTTTAAAATTAACCCATTTCTATTAATCTGTAAGTTGTCACGTGGCTGTGGCTTACCGGTATCTTAACATGTTGCTTCTCCTCCCGGCAGCTGGAAGTGTCCCCCTGCCTCAGCCTCCACTTCCCAGAATTCTCCTCTCTGTTTGTCCCGCCTATACTTCCTGCCTGGCTACTGGCCAATCAGCATTTTATTTATACAGTGCGATATCCACAGCAAGTCTACTTCAGGTTCTAGCCAGGAATGGGTGAAGGGTAAAGAGACAGAGGTTTTTCCTCGAACAATTCAGTTCTTCAGCAAATATAAACAGAGCGTTCTAAATTTAATTAAGTTCCGACACTGTCTGTCTAGAAATAGCATCATACCCCAAAGGTTAAGCCTTTGCCTAGCTTCGGATGTTGTGGTGGTTTGAAAGAAAAGACATACCTATGGGGGTAGGTATGCCCTTGTTGGAGGAAGTGTGTCATGGTGGAGGTGGGCTTTGAGGTCTCATATATGCTCAAGCTTCCCTCAGTGTGATACTCAGACCACTTCCTGTCACCTGCAAGATGTGGAACTCTCAGCGCCTTCTCCAGCACCATGTCTGTCCGCACACCTCCATGTCCCGCCATGGTGATAATGAACTGAACCTCTGAACTGTAAGTGAGCCACCCCAATTAAATGTTTTCCTCTATAAGAGTTACTGTGGTCATGATGTCTCTTCACACCAGTGGAAATCCCAAGACAGAAGTCAATCACAAATGGGTTCCCAGATTATCCCCTGATTCTACCCAACATGGCTACAGATTGGAAGTTTCCCATGACCCTGTTCTCAGGTTCTGTCATTTGCCAGAACAGCCTGTAAATTGAAATGGCTTTCTTTCTGGATGATGGGTTTATTACAAAGGGTAAATTAAGGGACAATTGACCAACCAGATGAAGAGACTGATTGCAAGGCAGGATCTAGAAGATTCAGAGAACAGGAGCTTCAGTCCTGTG